AGAAACAGGCAAAATATGAATATTTTCTGTTTTGCTTTCTGATTGTTCTGATGTATTCCTTGTTGAATGAGATGTATAAATATGTGTTTATTTTTGAAAATAGATCAGTTTTGATATGATTTTGAGTGCTCTGTAGACACTATGTGAATATGATGAGATGATGTGAAAAATGATGATTATGTGAATATGATGAGATGATGTGAAAAGTGATGACTATGTGAATATGATGAGATGATGTGAAAAGTGATAATGAGACATGATAATGTGATATGGGAATGAGAAATGATAATGAGATATGAGAATGCATAGAGTCTTGAATGACATGCATCATTTGCATAAGTGTTTTAAGGGTACGATATGGAATACACCGCCAGAGAAGGCCCCCTAGTGTAAAAGCTTTGGGGATTAGTCCTTGGGGATAGCTCGGTTTGGAAGTCCCAGTCTCGCCCATTGTGTGCATGGGATGTATCTTGCGCGGCTTAGCTATCCCGACGAGACTCTGGTAGTATATCCTTCTAGTGAGAGTGCGCAGAGGGTGTGACCCGGCATGTACTCCTAGACTACTCTTCGTGTATTGCTAGCGGCAATATGCCATGTGATGTTTTACTGGCGCCACATGCATGATAATATGTAGTCCGTGTCCATACTTATGCATTTTAATGTTATATGATAAAGTGATGGTTTATGTCTTGGATGAGTGTGATGTTATTATTAACTTATCTATGTTATACTTGTTTTATTTGTGTTTGGCTATTCGACATACATTTCTACACTGTGAGCTAGAGTGAGATGTTTCTCACTCCCTTTTCTCGTGTTGTTTTTCTTTGACTATTATACAGGTGATCATCAGCGTGAGGCTGAGGATGTTGGTGATGAAGCTTAGGCTTCTATGTTGGATTTTGCTCTGATAGGACATGTGACATCGGGACAAAGATAGGATTAGTTTAAGATGTTCTTATTAAATTATTTTGGAAAATTCAGTTTTATTTCTTTGTAATTTTATTGGCATGTTATTTGGATTAAGTTTATGAATGTGAACTCTTTACCCTTACGTGGTTGGAAATTTTATTTTTATTGATTTTTTTTATATAACTACTGTATATGTATGTTGGGGTAGAGGGTGTCACACTCTTCCAAGAGAGTCATTCTGTAAAACCTCAATTGATCATTGGACTTGTAAAGGAGAAGGGGTTTTTCTCCTTGTTGGTATTTAAATCTCAACACAAGGAAAAGGAATTCCGAGGTGTTGGAGGATTCAAGTCTTGTAAGGTTTACAAGAGTAGTGGAAATCTCAAGTGGGAGACTTGAGGACTGGATGTAGGCAGGATTGGCCGAACCAGTATAAAATCAAGTTTGCAATTCTTCTTCCCTACACTTTTATTTATTTGTTATTTAATTGTGTTTGAGTTGTTCTATATCATCAATCTTTACATACAAATTTTTCTAAGGAAATAAATTGATAAGAAAGTAATTGGAAAAGTTTTTACAAGAGGAAAATTTAGAAAACTTAATTCACCCCCCCTCTTAAGTTATACGAGGCTAAGTGACTAACATAGAGAAGAAACTTATAATATTTCATCAAGGAATTGGTATTGAGTGAATTTAATCTTCAAAAATATTGTAAAAAAAAATGGCTAACATGTTATAAGATCAAATTTACAAAAGTGTATAATGAGTGAAACTCAATCTCAAGATTTTGAATATGAATTTCTCTATTGCTTAAATAGTTGTTTGTTAATTTCCTAAAGTTTATAATGAGTGAAGTTTTAGTTTAATGAATCAAATAATGAACATTTATGAATACATTGTATTTTTTTCTTACTTAAATTAATCAAAAATCAATCAATCATTAAGCCTAGTTCTTGTGCAGATGGCCTTACTCATCACTGTTACAAGTTGATTCTAGTTCACTTGTCACGAGATCAACAATGTGCTAGTAGTGTTTCTTTTTGATGGAAATATGAAATGTATCAAATTATATATGTTTTAATGTAAGAATGTCAACTTGTAAAAACTCCTCGTGAGGCATAAACTTAGTCACTACAAAAAAAAAAATTCTATTTAGTGGGGGTTATTTTACGAAGGTTTGAAAAAACCCCTCAAATTAACATGAATTGTGGCATGCTTGAGGAACACTTAAAATTGTGAAAACAATGGTGGTTTTTATCATTTTTTGAGGAGGTTTATGCCCTCCTAAATTAAGATACATTTTTCCCTAAAAACTTTTCACCACTTCTCTCTTTTACTTTTCCCCCACAATTTTTTTCACCCAATCCCTCCTTCAATTTTCACCACGTTTTCCTCTTACTCACTCCGCTCCTCTCATCCGTGCGCATCGCTCCTCCCACTTTCTCCCATTCTCTTCTCTAGACGAAGATGTTAGGGCCAATCTCCCACCTTTTCGCATTGTCAAAGACAATCATGACTAGTTGCTCAACCCTCTTTCTCGCCCTCGCTTCTGGAATTTTAGTACGATTCAATGTTGTGGCTGTTTCCTCTTCCTTTCCTTGCCTTTTGTCATGCCTTGTGATAATTACATGAAATATTGTCATTATCAATTTACCTATTTTTTCTTCTTTTTTTTTAGCTTTTAGTTTCACGGTAACATTAGCACAAAGATAGTAAAAGAAGTTTGAGTACATCGTGGGAACTGCAAGGGAAGTATCGTAAAAGGTAAGGATCCCTAATAACTTTAATGAAATCTTTAAATTGATTGGATCCTTGTATGAATGTTGCTCTTGGTGAATAACTTTAATGAAATCTTTAAATTAATTACTTTTTATGCAATTTCATCCATTAAAGAGAGAATGTTTGGCAATTGTTGTAGCAGGGTTCGTGGTTGGTTGAAAAGATATTGAAAATGGTTATTTGTCTGATTGTCTATTTTTATGAGTGGTGTGTGAATGGTGAAAATAAGTAGGGTAATTTAGTAGCCCTGGCTTAAAAGGAAATTGTGATTACTGTCTCTCCCATTCATGTCTATCACTATTTAAGTAAGACACAAGAAGGTATAAAAATAAGCACCCATAAAATTAGTGTCTTATACTTATGTATGGCACTATAAATGAAGCAACTATCAAAACAAATATTCTGAAGATCCCTTGAAGAACTTAAGAATACAATCATGCAAACATTTAAACCAAAAATTCCAAAGTCCTTGAAGAGATTCAAACAAGCTCTCTAGAAATTGTCAACAAAAAAGCAGGTCCAATTATAAGAAAGATGAAAATAAGAGCAGTACCATTGGACAATCATTAAGAAGAGATATAATTAAACAAATAGAAGGATTGAATATCTTTAATTAGATTATTAAACGAAAAAAATAGCCAGAAAACAGAACTCAATAGTAAGTAAAATTGGATAATGATAGTCCAATGTTGATACAAATTTGAAATTGCAGATGTTATAGGCTACGAAAGAATTTAGTTTCTATTCAGAAAATTCTTGTTTGCTTTAGTCTTTATCTACTACTGTTCAGGATCTATTTGGTAGGCTGCAATCCCTAGTGGATTTGGTCATACCATTTGTGGCTACCATGGTTTATTTCTCCATTAAAAACTTAGGGAGAGCTTTGGTACAATCATAAGCTTGCTGCTTGGTGACTTGGAGGTTTAAACCTTATAAAATGCTTGCAACGGTGTAGTTATAGTAATTAAAAACTATAGTAATTAGCAAATTAACACTAAATTTCAATTGGTCACGTCATTGCAAATAAAGGGTCACGTCACCTAACACTCTTTTTGTAACAGACCGATTTTCACAGATTGTACGAGGGCTCAAAGCGCAATAGGGGTGATTTAGTAGCCCAAAACGGGCCGTTCCCAAATTGGAATGGGTCGTTCCAAACTACTAAAACGAGGGTGATTTAGTATCAAAGAATGGGTTATTCCCAGATTGGAACGGGTCGTTCCAAAATACTAAAAGTGCCTACAAATCTTAGTTTGGAACGTGGCATTCCAAATTACCAAAAAGGCTTGTCACCCTAGTTAGGAACGGGACGTTCTGGTTTAAGAACGGGACGTTCCAAATATGGCCGTTATGGGTTAAATGCAACCCCAGAACGGGCCGTTCTGGTTTGAGAACGGGCCGTTGTAGTTTGAGAACAGATCATTCTAGATGTGAAATTTTAGATATGACGAAGATTCCAGAACGGGCCGTTCCAAATTTGAAACGAGTCGTTCCGACCACTCCTGATGCCTATAAATAGAGCGCTCTAACACTCTCAAAAAGCACACCTTTCAGTTCTGACTTTTTTCAGTTCTGACTTTTTTCTTCTTCTACACGCTCTGAAGACCGAGGGGAACCTAGAGGGGGAGACCAACCATATCTTGCTTTAGTTTCAGCTGCTACTTATCGAGGTACGGGAGGAAAGGATATTATTTGTATGCAAAGTTACATGAGGTAATTGGGTAGAGAAAGAGTCCTTAGAATTATGAGTAATTTTATAATTGTTTCTGTTTAAAGAATTGATGATCCCATTAGATTATGTATGTATTGAGGATTAGAAATATATAATTAATTTGTAAAAATGATGATCTGGGAGAGAGAACGAAATTGTAGAAAAGTGCCTGCGAGTTAGGTTTTGGAAAAATTGGGGGTTTTACTATTTAAGTTAAGATTATATTAAATTGATGATTCAATTGAGTGTTATAATAATTTATAAATGTTATTGTTATATTATATGGTAAAAATTGGATGATCTAGATGTGAATTCATGGTGAATTGCTTGAGGGGTATGTTAACCACCATTTTGTTGAACTTATCTATTGTGTATCACTACTACAAAAACACTGTTTAACATCGCTATATTTACATCGATTTTAGTAGAACCGATGTAAATCATAAACGCGATGGCAAACCTGTAAATAAATAGAAAATGCATACATATTTACATCGGTTGGGAGGAGAAACGATGTAAATATGAGCAATTCTACATCGGTTTTATGATTGACCGATGTAGAAATGGAATCAGAAAGTTATTCTACATCGGTTTTGCTTATGATCGATGTAGAAATGAGAATCTCATATGTGCCCCGCGAATACCCTAGGTTAAAGCATACCCTTTCACTCAGCAACGTCCTAGCCTCCGCGGGCAACGACGGAGAGCGAACCCTCTTCTCTTCATCTGGTGAAGCGCCTTCTATCTTCCCCTTCCTCCTCCTCTTTCACTCACACTCACCAACTTGTTACTATCACAACACGCATCCTCGCCGGCGCCAACATGCACCGCCAACTCCACCACCTCCACCACCTCCTCCTCTCCTCTCACCCCAACCACATGGCCCACTCTTCCATCACTTCCATGGTCCGGGTCCTTCTTCTTTGTCTCCGTCTTCGTCGTCCCCAAAATGGTCGTGCAAGGTCTGCACTTTCTTAAACCCTTACAACAACCCCTCTTGCCAGGTTTGTGGCACTCGCTACCTCTCCAATCTCAAAGACTTGGACAACGCTAGTGAACACGATTCTTTTGTTGGCTATGTTTTCTTCCCTCTTCGACCCTGCAACAAGAGAAAGGCCATCGACGACCACGATTCTTTTTAGAGGGTGAATCTGAAGCTCAAGCTATCCTAAAAGGCTACCGATATCACCGGTGATGGTGAGAGAGCGTGTTTCTATCATTCTATGCCTTTTATCGGTTATTTTATAATTTCTGCATTATTTTTTTTTTAATTTTTTTTATGAACAACTTTAATACGTGGCAGAGGATACTGATTTAGGAAAAGATTTTAGTTCGTTTAAGATATTGAGTTACAATGTTTAGTTCCGGGAAGACTTGGAGTTGCACAAGAGGATGAAGGCTATTGGCGACTTTGTTCAATTGCATTCTCCTGATTTAATTTGTTTCCAGGTTTTACTCTTTCTTCTTTGTTGCGGTTTTGAATATATGTGGCTTTGTCTAATGTGGACTGCTACTGCTTCAGGAAGTTACTCCCAATATATATGACATTTTCAAGCAATCCACATGGTGGGGGTGTATATCGTTGTTCTGTTTCTTCTAAGATGTCTTATTCAAGACCCTACTTTTGTATGCTGGTTAGTTTCATATCTTTCACCCTTTGCACTGGATTTGAACCCAATGATATATATACCTTTATGGTGCATTTATTTTGATAATGTGGTTTTTGTTTCAAATTTAATATCCTTCACCATTTCAGGTGTGATTGGCACATGTGTTGTTTTTTCTGCTAACATGTAATGTAGTTTGTTTTGTTCGCTAGAGTCTTTAGAAAATAGGACCACATTTGTTCATGCTCACATTGTTGATAACTCTATGCTTTAATGGATCTGTTTGTTTAATTTTTTTTTCCTATAAAAGCATTCCTTTTTAATAGAATAAGCACTTTTTATATATTTTTTAAATATCATTTATTTATTGATTTTTCCCTCTTATATGGGTTTAGTTTATCTATTGATTGATTTATTTATTGCTGATGTGATTCTTCATTTTTGTTTTCATTGATTAATCTTTTCATTTCTTATTGAAAGTAATAGTTATGTATTGAAGAATTGGTGATTATTTGGATTTGTGTACTTTGGGGCCAAAAAGTTTTATTTTCTTTTTGCTCAGTTCTTAAATAGCCTTTTAAGAAGTTCCCGTAAAAATGATTACCAAACATGCCCTTATACTCTTAACATGATATATGATAGCTTATGCTTTTGTGTTCTGTGCAGGCTGCGGTCGGAAATAAATCTTCCAATTATGAGAGAATTGGTTCCTCATTATCTCCAGGATTCAGGACGGGTATGTGTAACTGTCTGCCTATGCATGTAAATTAACTTGCATGTATTCTTCACCCTTTTCTCTTTGAGTACTATGAACCAATGGGTATGTTTGGATGGTGGATGGGAAGGTTTACTTAAAACTTTTCTCTTGTTTAAGAGTTCTACAAAATGGTGAAGTAAATGAAAGATATTCATGTAATCATTCAAATCCCTGTTTATAACATTTAAGTTGTTGCAATTTTTGAGGATATTAAATATTCCAAGACACGGAACAAAACTTATTAGGATGCTGCTTCATGCATCAGTGAACTTATGATATGGTTGTCTAATTATTGTAAATTTGTAATGATGGTTACTGGTCTTGTAATTGTAATGTTATGCATAATAGTATTGTACTGCAGTAATTTTTGATGGTATCTCAATTCTCCATTGACCTGCTGTCAGGTGTTCAATACATATAGTGGCTTTCCAAACTTCTCAATTACAGGCATAAAATCTTTAAATACAAGACCCTTTAATGGATTCAAAAAGTTGTCCAATATAACAATAAAAAGATACTTGTCTTCCTAACACAAATTAACATTTCTCTCTCAAAGTCAACATTCCTAACCCTTAAATTGATATTGAAGAAAACCTCACTATCTGAGCATATAATGTACCAATGGAGACCGGAAAAGAAAAAAACATAAATAACTAGTGGTTTTTTTGTCAATAAAAATATTTAATAGAATTGATTTGTTTTGTTCCATTTGGTTCCACCTTTTACAGTCCATGTTCTGTTGTTATTTTCATAAAATGAATCAAGCATAGGATTAGGATAGAACATGTGTTATGTTCTCTTCTATACACACATGCCAAATGCTACCTTAGTTTTATATCTAGCATGCCTTCTCACGCCAAAGGGCTTGAAGCTTGGATAATGCTTATGCCTACTCTTTATTTGCTGAAACTCAACCTAGTTGGAATGGAATTGGCAGTCTTAGATAAATTTCAACGACAAAATATTAAACTGTAAATGGAGTTTTCATTTCATTCAGCCCACCAAAAACAGAATACAGAGGGAGCATTTATAGTAGCTACCCTTGTTGGCACAGCTGTAAAAAGTTGATTACAAAAATAACAAACTGTGGCAGCTAGCATAACAAACCTAGAATATTCTGTTGTTATAGCATAATGAAAAAGTAATATTTTTCATATTACACTTTATTACCCCCCTTAAACTCAAGGTGGAGGTTTGTCAGAAAAACTCTTCACATTGAGTTTGCCTCTAATTAGTTCAAATCTGGTTGTAGAAAGGAGCTTGGTTAGCACATCTGCCCATTGATCCAAAGCTGGAATGTGATAAATCAGAAGTTGCTTGGATAAAACCTTTTCTTGAACAAAAAAGACATCAGTTTCCATATTTTTAGTTTGATTGTGAAAGACAGGATTGTGAGCAAAAGCTATTGCAATTTGGTCATCATAGAGCACGAGAGGTGTAGAAAAAAGAACCTGAAGTAAGATAATGATAGCAGTGGGTATTTTAGTGTATGATCATGAAAACAGCTTTGTGATGTAATGTACCTAGGTGACAAGTTTTATCATTGTTGAGTAGATTAAGAGAACAAAGTAACTAGCTTTTATAAGTGACTCTTCCATCATTACACCAAAATGCATTGATGATGATGTGGGTTGAATATACTAAAATTGTGTTAATACTTGTGTATAATCTTGAACCACTTAAAGGAGGGTCTAATTTTTGAAACTTGATGTTTCTTAATTTTCACTTCTCATGTTGATCACTTCGTGAGGCATCTATGAATGTTTCTATTCTATTTTGTATTTGGTCAAGATAATAATGTAGATCGTGCTGAATTTTTCTATATATGGTAATATTTGGTTAAGATAATAATTTTGATAGTGCTTAATTTTGCTATGGTAATGAAGATATTTCGTGATACTGTGGTTTTAAGTAATTCTATTTATACATGCCATGCCTCTGCTGATGTGCTCTATTATTGATTAACATATAGTTCCATGCTTTTGACTTCCGCGCTACAACAAGAAACGAGCCTTTTTTGCAACTTTTTCACTGCCTGTATGTGTATTTGTTGATTGTAAGTTTGGGTAGGAAAGCTTCCAGCTACAGAATTCCATCTTCCTTTTTGTTAAGATGGCCAGTATTTATTGGGTCTTACGTCTTGCACACTGACTTGTATTTAACTTAAAAATAAGCATGATTTTTTTAAAAAAAAATGCAATCTACATCGGTTCTCAAGAAAATCGATGTAGATTTATGCTTAAATTTGCATCGGTTTGTCAGAACCGATGTAAAAATGTATACATTTTCTACGTCGCTCTATTCTACATCGGTTCTAGAACCGATGTAGATGACTTTAGAGAACCAATATAGAATATGCATCTTGTAGTAGTGTATATGTGATATGGAATTGAGTTATGAGATGAAATGTTGTATTGAATGTTAATATGATGTGATTGTGGTTCCTTACACATATGACTAGAGATAACACGACCTTGGGTAAGTGATGCTACAAGGATGGCGTGACCCTAGCATAGTGTGGGATGAGTGAGGCAATTGACACGTATCACTTATGTCTAGAGTGGCACGACCTTGGGCAGGAGATGCTACAGGGGTGGCGTGACCATTGACATAGTGTTAATTGCAAGATTTGTGTTCGTTATTAATGTAATGTAATTGTGATTTCTCACACTAATGACCAGGGATGGCATGACCCTTGGGTAAGTGATGTTATAGGGATGGCGTGGCCCTGACATAGTGTGGGATGAGTGAAGCAATTAACACGTATCACTTATGTCTAGAGTGGCACGACCTAGGGCAAGAGATGCTACAGGGATGGCGTGACCATTGGCATAGTGTTAATTGCAAGATTTGTGATGGATTGATGTGATTGTGAAATTGTGATGTAAAGTTGATGCATGATTGATAGATTTATGATATGTAGAAATTATTGTAAATATTTCATTATGTAATGAGTTATGATAAAATTACATTGTGGTGTGTTTGTATGTGCTTTACATATAGATGTTTTCTTTTCTCACCGTACAATTTATGGATATTTTAGGTGAGGAAGATCCGGCTATGAGTGACATCTAGAATGCCAACAGTTAAATTGTGAGTGTGCTCTAATATTGTGACATCGGAGCAGAGAATTCTAGGATATGAATTTTTATGTATTTGGAGTTGTAGCTTTTCTTTTGAAAACAATTTGTAAACTCTTATGCTTATTTTCCAATTTTTATTTTTAATTATTTTGGATATTGAAGAACAATTATGAAGGTTTTATGTGAACCCTTTTACCAATGTTGAAAATTTTATTTTTTAGCTTATTTACATTGTGACAATATATGTGTTGGGGTAGTAAGGGTGTTACTAAATCACCCTCGTTTTAGTAGTTTGGAACGACCCGTTCCAATTTGGGAACGACCCGTTCTGGGCTACTAAATCACCCCTATTGCGCTTTGGGCCCTTGTACAATTTGTGAAAATCGGGCTGTTACACTTTTTCTCTCTTTGTGTGTGTGTTTGTGTATGTGTATGCATCTGTATCTGTGTTTGTGTTAAGAAGAGCATTATCCATTAAAGTTAGAAACAATCATCACCCAATGATGTGGGTGTGCGTGCCTTTGTGTATGTTTGTCCTTGTATGTATGTATGTGTCTATATGTCGTGTACACGTGCATGTACATGTCTATGTGTTGAGAAGAGCATTTGCCATTGGAGTTAGCAACAATCATCGCCTGATGATGGGTGTTTTGTGCTAAGTGAAGATGTCAAGTTTACTCACCATTCTTTTAACATCTTTTGAGGACTTATTGCCATTTTTTTCTCTATTTTGTATCCACTCATAGTTCGAGAACAAAGCGCAAGATTCAATTTATTTTGTTTTTCAATGGAGAATCAATTTAGGAATGAATGTAGAACTTCATGCATCACAATCTTTAGGGGTGAGCATCAATTGGTTACAAATGGTTTAAGACCAAAAAAATTCAAAATGACACAATCCAATGGAGTAAAAATGGAAACTGTTTTTGTTCGTTATTGTTCTTAAGTGAATCAGGTATACGTTGCTTAGGTGTTAGGTTAAACAAGTGTCTGTGAATTTTTATTCAAAACACCAGTGTCTTAGAGTGTTAAAGATTGTGAATCACAACATGTAAAAGAAGAAAATTTCATCTTTTTTAGAGTTTATACCAAACTAGGATAAGATTCATTGGGGAGGGCACAATGGCTAACCAAAATGAGAACCTTTAGAGAGATTGTAAAAAGATATTTTTATGACGAGGATGTTATGTTTGATGTAATGCACACAACATAGAGTGTGGAATGGTGGCAAAGTAGTAAATATGGCAAAACTTTTTTAGGAAGGTGTTGTTGACTCACCCATCATAGAAATTTTTTTTCTATGTCAACGAGTCAACACCAATCATAAAATGTGTTGGGCAGGGTCAACTTTGTAGTTGACCCCAACCTTTCTATGAAGGATGTAAGACACGCGGCATAAAAAGAACTTTTTATGGCAGGTAAAACAACACCTAACATAAAAGTGTTTTAAAATTTCAGAAAATACAATCCACGTCATTTTTCAACTTCAGACTCTTATTTATTGTTCTGTCTCATTTCCCTTTTCTTTGTGACATCCTTACTACCCCAACACATATATATTGCAATAATGTAAATAAACTAAAGAATAAATTTTTAAACGGTAAAAGGGTTCACATAAAACCTTCATAATCGTTCTTCAATAATCAAAATAATTGAAAATAAACTTGGAAAGTTAAAATTAAGAGTTTACAAATTGTTTTCAAAATAATAAGTACAACTCTAAATACATATAAAAATTTATATCCTAGAATCCTCTACCCCGATGTCACAATACCAGAACACACCCATAATTCAATTGTTGGCATTCTAGATGCTACTCAGAGCCGGATCTTCCTCACCTAAAACATCCACAAATTATACGGTGAGAAAAGAAAACTTCTATATGTAAAGCACACACAAACACACCACAATGTAATCTCTTCATAACTCATTACATAATGAAATATTTACAATCATTTCTACATATCATAATTTTATCAATCATGCATCAACTTTACATCACAATTTCACAATCACACCAATTCATCACAAATCTTACAATTAACACTATGCCAAAACCACGCCACATCTGACATAAGTGATACGAGTTAATTTCCTCACTCATCCCACACTATGCCAAGGTCACGCCGTCCTTGTAGCATCACTTACCCAAGGGTCATGCCATCCCTGGTCATTAGTGTGAGGAACCACAATCACATCACAATCCACACAAATCTTACAATTAACCCTATGCCAAAGCCATGCCACAACTGACATAAGTGATACGTGTTAATTGCCTCACTCATTCCCACACTATGCCAAGGTCACGCCGTCCTTGTAGCATCACTTACCCAAGGGTCGTGTCATCCCTGGTCATTAGTGTGAGGAACCACAATCACATCACAATCCACACAAATCTTACAATTAACCCTATGCCAAGGCCACGCCACAACTGACATAAGTGATACGTGTTAATTGCCTCACTCATCCCACACTATGCCAAGGTCACGTCCTCCTTGTAGCATCACTGACCCAAGGGTCGTGCCATCCCTGGTCATTAGTGTGAGGAACCATAATCACATCATATTCACATTCAACACAACATCCCATCTCATAACTCAAATTACATATCACATACAGATAAGTCTCACTACTAGAAGGATTCACTAGTACAAAAGAAGTGTACTACGTCGGATATTTTGAGCTTTTTACGTCAGAAAACATACCGACGTAAAAGCGGGAGATGTAAATTTTATGTCGGATGTGAAAAACTGACATAAATTTACGTCGGACATTACGACATCCGACGTAAAAAAGTAGGAAAAAAAAAACATAAAAATTCCAGCAGAACGGCCTGTTTTGCTTGCTGAACAAGCCATTCAGCTTCGTATAACAACCTAAGAGAAAACGCCCACTACCTGTACAAATAGAACAACCAAAAAATCAAATAAAACAGATAGCCAGAGTAGCAATGCGAAGTAGAAAAGTGCTAAAGAAACGATTAAGTAACAAAGGAGAGGGAGAAAGTTTAGAGAGAAAAAAATGAAAAGTGACGAAGAGTGAATGCGCGCGGTGTGCCTCGCGCTCTCTTATTCAAATTTGCGTCATTTTTTACGTCGGACCTAGTAGGGTCCGACGTAAAAAATTTCACAAAAATTACAAAAATGCCACCGCATTTTTTTACGTCGGATTTTTGTATTTCTGACATAAAAGGGGTGACGTAATATGCTGATTTTCTACAAGTGATTGTATTCTGTCGGTTATTTTGCCATATCTACATTGGTTTTAAAATCGACTTAGATAAGGCTGTCGTAGATGAATGAACATATCTATGTCGGTTACGTAAAAACCGACTTAGATGTATTTATACATCTAAGTCAGTTTTAAAAACCGACTTAGATGTATCTATAAATTTAAGTCGGTTTTCACAAAACTGTCTTGGATGTGCACATACATCTAAGTCAGTTTTTATCAAAACTGACTTAGATGTATATATGCACATCTAAGACGATTTTTATTCAAAAATGACTTAGATGTATATATGCACATCTAAGACAGTTTTTATTCAAAACCGACTTAGATGTGCATATATACATCTAAGTCAATTTTTGCGTAGAACCGTTGTAGATTGTATTTTTTTAACCAGGTTAATTTTTAAAATAAAACTGATTCAATTATAAATAACTTGCAAAAACTGATTTAATTATCCAATGAGAAACCAACAGAGACCAATTTGGGATCATTATCATTATAGAAATGGTTGAATTACATCATTATATAATATATATAATACTAAAGAAACAATATACTTGGAAACCAAGAGAGGCTAATCTAGTATCCATAAAGAAGAGTTTTTCTCTTACAAGGAGAAGAGAAGATCAAAAAAATTAGGTCACATTACATTAGACATGCATTGGGTAGCCTAATACTGAAACCATATTCATCTATTTCTAAATTTTTCTAAAAAAAAATTTCCCCAATGAATCTGAATGTCTTCCAATTTGGTTTCCCCCAATGGTGTAGCATCTTCAAAAAGCTGCAACGTATATACATCATATATTAGTTACATCATAAAAAGCAATAAAAGAAATTAACAATATTTTTAAATGTACCTCACTCCAACCATTTGTTACTCCC